AAGATGACGCCGGGCTTCACAGTCGCATTCCACATCTTGCTGAGCAGCGCCAGAGCCGGCTGCCACTGCTCGCCCTTCTCGCACGCGCTGATCCCAGCGCTGTAGCTGACTAGGGCTGACCCGTGGACTCCGTCCACGACATCTTTCTGGAATGGTTCTCGGAGGAACGGCGCAGATTGTACCGAAAATCTACAAACACGGCGGCGGCTCGGGCGGCGGCAGCGAGACCGCGCCTTCGTGTCCGAGCTCTTGCAGCGCTGCAGCAGCTTGGCCCAGCGCACTGCTCGTTCACCCCCCTCCTATTGAGGACAGTTTCGAAGTCTCTCGGGGATGTGCGTCGAAGTCGAAGCCCATCTGAGGCGTCTCAGGAGCGCTCGGGGAAGGGCTCGGGAGGCCATCGGGGAAAGCCACCGAAAGCGCCGGGGAGGCTCGCAAGGATCTACAGGGAGGGCCCAAGAGAGCTTCAAGAAAATTCGAAATCCAGTGAACTCTTAAGAGAAACCGCTGTTGGGTCGGCCATCACCTCCGGGCGCGCCTTGATGGTGCGATCCAGTCGCATCACCGCCAACGGGAGGGTTTGTTCGCCATGTCCCATTCTGTTCGCCCAGAGGGTCAGTGGAGGCCTTCGGGCGAACAGAACGGGACAGGGCAAGGAATGGGGAAGACATGTCCGAATCTCCTGGGCCCCCCAGATGCTCGTCCGAAGAATGCGGAGAGGTCCCAGGGTCATATCAATTGGCTGCTGTCCCAGGGGTCCGGTCTGCTTGGCCCGAAGAGTTTGCCAAGGCCCCTGGGGGAACAGAATGGCACAGCATATCGGGCAAAGGGGGGCGGTAGCTGGCCTGTCAGACCCGGCGTTCGTCTTCTGCCCAAGCGGCGCGGGGCCCACGGGCCCCAGGGTTGGCGTCCCGCTGGGATTCCTCTTGTTCGCCCACAGGGTTGGAGGAGGCCTCCAGGCGAACAGAATGGGGCAGGACAATGAATGTGGGAGACTTGTCGCAAGCTCCCAGCCCCCCCAAGTGTGCGCCCGAAGGGTGTGGGGCCGCGTTGGCTCCCTCAAAGGGCCGTCTTGGAGCCGTCTAGGCCCGTCTTGAGGGCGCCGTTTGCCCTGATGGGGCCGTCTTGGTTCGTCGTGGGCCCCTCATGGGCGCGTCCGTAGGCCGTCCTGGGCCCATCGGGGTCCTCGTGGGGCTGTCTTGGAGCCGTCTGGGACCGTGAGGAGGCCGCCTTGGAGTCGTCTTGGGCCCCTCCTGTGCGCCTCCTTGGGCCGTCCTGGGCCCAGCAGGGGCCGTGTTGGCACCCTCTTGGGGCTGTCTTGGAGCCGTCTTGAGCCGTCGCAGCGCGCCTTGGGTTGTGCTGGGTCCGTCTTGGCCCGTCTTGGGGCCTTCCTGGGCGGTTCCTCGGACCCTCCTGGGACTTTCTGGGGCCTCTTGGTGCATCGGACCGCCGAAACGGCGGGAAACGCAAAGGGTGTGACAGTAAACAATGGAAAATTGACGATTTTTGCCAGCTGGGACTCTCTTGCCATCTTGGTCCGTCTTGAGGCCCCGAACGGGCGCGTCCTTGGGCCGTCCTGGGCGCACCCTCCTGGGACCGTCTTGGAATCGTCTTGGGCCGTCTTGAGCGCGCCTTGGGCCGTCCTGGGCCGGTCTGGGGCCGTGTTGGCACCCTCGCGGCGAGGAAGCTCGGAGGCGGGCTCGAGGCCTCTTCGGGGCCATTTTGGAAGCTGTTGGGGCCTCTGTAGGGGCCTCGTTTGGGCTCCTTGGGAGCCTCCTGGGGCCTCTTCGGGGGATTCTTGGCGGCCCCTTGGGGCCTCTTGGGGGCCTGTTTGGGCCTCCTGGCGCCCTCTTGGGGCGGAAGGCTCGGATTTTCGGTCCGTGGTCCCCCTCTTGGCCCCCTCTTGGGCCTGTCTTCGGGCCCTCGTGGGCCGTCTTGAGCGTCTCTTGGGTCGTCTTGGGGCCCTCTTGGGCTGTCTTGGGGCGCTCTTGGAAGCCTCTTGGGCCGTTCTGGGGCGCTCTTGGAGGCCTCTTGGGCCGTCTTCGAGCGTCGGAAAGCGGAAAAGGCGAGAAGGCCAAAATCCTTCCAAAACCGTAAAACGGACGATTTTGAGGCCCAAAACCGTCCAAAACCTCCTGAGGCGGTCCCCTCGTCCGCCCCCCTCGCTTCGAAGCAGTTTTTACCTAACAGCGAAGACTGATAGGTTTCTAGTTGACTCAAAAGAGCTCACAGATCACTCCACAGGGGGGTCCGGGCAGGTGTTGGGAGTTGCCGGGCGGCAGGTGCCGGGCTCGTTTTTCGCCAACAGTCACACACTTCGTGCTCTTCGATTCCCAGAACTCCATTCCCAGGCCACATTCTGGAGGGCCGATGCAACAGTCACACACTTCGTGCTCTTCGAGTTCCCAGAACTCCATTCCCGGGCCACATTCTGGAGGGCCGGATGCAACAGTCACACACTTCGTGCTCTTCGAGTTCCCAGAACTCCATTCCCGGGCCACATTCTGGAGGGCCGGATGCAACAGTCACACACTTCGTGCTCTTCGAGTTCCCAGAATTCCATTCCCGGGCCACATTTTGGATGCCCGGAGCCAACTGTAGGCCACTTCGTGCTCTTCGAGTTCCCAGAACTCCATTCCCGGGCCACATTTTGAATGCCCGGAGCCAACTGTAGGCCACTTCGTGCTCTTCGAGTTCCCAGAACTCCATTCCCGGGCCACATTTTGAATGCCCGTAGCCAACTGTAGGCAACTTCGTGCTCTTCGACTTCCCAGAACTCCCATTCCTGGGCCACATTTTCAGCAGGGGCAAGAGCACGACGAGGAGGAGGACGAGCAAGACCAGGAGGACGAGGACGAGCAGGAGCAGGACGAGGAGCAGGAGGAGCAGGAGAAGAAGGACGAGCAGGAGGAGGAGGAGGACGAGCAGGAGGAGGAGGACGACCAGGAGGAGGAGGACGACCAGGAAGAGGAGGAGGAGGAGGAGGAGGAGGAGGAGGGGGAGGAGTAGGAGGAGGAGGAGGAGGAGGAGGAGGAGGAGGAGGAGGAGGAGGAGGAGGAGGAGGAGGAGGACGAGGAGGAGGAGGAGGAGGGGGGGGGAGAGTACCAGGAGGAGGAGAACGAGGACCACCAGGAGGAGGAGGAGGAGGAGGAGGAGGAGGAGGAGGAGGAGGAGGAGGAGGAGGAGAGAACACCAGGAGGAGGAGGACGAGCAAGACGAGGAGGACGAGAACGAGGACGACCAGGAAGAGGAGGAGGAGGAGGAGGAGGAGGAGGAGGGGAGGGGGAGGACTACCAGGAGGAGGAGGAGGAGGAGGAGGAGGAGGAGGAGGAGGAGGAGGAGGAGGAGGAGGACGAGGAGGAGGAGGAGGAGGAGGACGAGGAGGAGGAGGGGGGGGGAGAGCACCAGGAGGAGGAGAACGAGGACCACCAGGAGGAGGAGGAGGAGGAGGAGGAGGAGGAGGAGGAGGAGGAGGAGGAGGAGGAGAGAGCACCAGGAGGAGGAGGACAGCAAGACGAGGAGGACGAGAACGAGGACGAGCAGGAGGAAGAGGAGGAGGAGGAGGAGGAGGAGGAGGAGGAGGAGGAGCAGGAGAAAGAGGAGGAGGAGGAGGCAGGCTGAGGCTGAGGCTGTGACTGCGACTGCCGTTGCCGCTGCGACTGTCATCGCGAATGCGACTACGACTGCGAGAACAGCAGAATTCGACAACTGGATTTTCATCTGAATCTTAAGGGGAATGCTTTCAGATATGCTTCTACACATCGCTGTTAGGTTGCTTTGCCGGGATAATTAAGCCCCGTGGCACCTCTTGGGGATCTCTTTTGGGCTCCTGGGGGCCTCTTGGGCCTCCACTGGATTCGCTGCCCTCGGTCGGCAATCGTCGATCCTACGACGACTCTCCCCAACGGAGAAACATCGAAGGCCCTCGGAGCGTCCAACATTGTTCTTTTGTGCCTTCGATATGCCGGTCGCCTCTCGTCCGCTCCCCCCCTCCTGGAAGCAATTCTGAAGCCACTTAGGGCTTCGTGGGGGCCGTTTGGGGATCTCTTGGGGCGTTTTTGCCTGCGATATGCCTGTCGCCTCTCGTCCGCTCCCCCGCTCCTGGAGGGAATTCTGAAGGCACTGAAGGCTTCGTGGGGGCCGTTTCGGAGCCTCTTCGGCCTTCGTTTGGGCCTCCCGGGGGGGCTCTTAGGGCCCTCTCGGGCCGTCTTGGGTGCCTCTTGGGCCGTCTTGGGGCCGCTCCTGGGGTCGCCTTGGGTGCCTCTTGGGCCGTCTTGGGCGCCTCCTGGGCCGTCCTAGGGCCGTCCTGGGGCGTCTTGGGACCGTCTGGGGGCCGTCCTGGCCCGTCTTGGGGCTCTCTTGGGGTCCTCTTCGGCCGTCTTGGAGCGGTCGGGGGGGCTTCTTGGGCCGTCTTGGAGCGTCGGGAAGCCGACGAGGCGAGGAGGCCGAAAACATCGAAAAACACACTAGAAATCGACGATTTCTGTCGCTCGGAGCCCTCTTGGGAGGCCTCTTGGGAGGCCTCTTCGGGCGTCTTGGACGCCTCTTGGGCCGCCTGGGGCGAATCTCGGGCGTCTTGGGCCCATCTTTAAGCGTGCCGGGGCTCTCCGGGGCCGTCTTGGGGGCTTCTGGGGGCCCTCTCGACATGTCCTGGGGCCTGCCTGGGCGGCCCGGGGCGGCCCGGGGCCAGCCTGGGGCGGTTTTGAGACATTTGAGCCTGCGCCCTTCTGGCACGCACGTGCTCCTGCAATGTAGTAGAGACTAGGGCTGACCCGTGGACTCCGTCCACGACATCTTCCTGGAAAATCTTAACAGAAACCGCTGTTGGGTCGGCCATCACCTCCGGGCACGCCTTGATGGTGCGATCCAGTCGCGATCCTCCTCCGCCCCCCTCGCTTTAAATGTTATTATAACGCTCTTTTATACTGCTTGTTCCCCTCCCCTCGTGCCGTCCTCTTCTGTGTCTTCTCTCGGCTTTGCCGTCCTCAAGATTTCGGCTCTAGAAGCTTGGGGTCCCAGCGGACCCGAGGGCAGAGCCGTCTCCTTTTTGGCAGATTGCACGTGTCGGGCGGGGCCCGACGGCCGGCCATCCCCAGCGGAGGGCCCAGACCC